TACTTATTACTATTAAAACTTTATATTTAAATTAAATATATAATCTTAATATAAACTAATTTTAAAATCTAATTCTATTGCTGTACTATTGCTGCAATTAAGTTAAAGTGCACTTACCCTGTAAATCCATGGTCATGCTCTCTAAGCTAGTCCTGCTACCTGTATTAAACACCAGTCTACGCTTCCAGGCCTTAGAATAGACACCCCACATCGCGGTATCGGCAAGCCTGTACTTGTTTGGGTTATAAGATTTAATGAAACTGATCCAATACCCTTGGACGACGTTGACTGCATTAGCATTGATCCCCCCTGGGAAGTAGCTTCGAGGGGCCCCGGAGCCTCCATTACCAGGCCCCCATATTGCATGAGTCTCGTCACAATGAGCTACACCTCTTCCCTGAGCCATGAAACCTGGATCCTCCACGTTGTACCAATAGTTCCAGGTTTTCTTTGGCATCCAGCGGGAAATAGATTCCGAGAACGAGATGCCTGAGCATTGAAACCTCATGTCGCCATACGCATCGCTGAGGGGTCGTTTGAGACAACCAGCTTTCGAACACGCATCCGCTAAGCCTGGGTACAAAGCCGTGATATGAGTCATATGAGTTGACCCAAGAAGTGGAAACTCGGCCTTGAAAAAATCCTCAACTTCTGTTTTCGAGGATGCAGCTGGTGCAAATGCTCTACCCTCGTTGGTTGTGGCACCGATGATAGAAGGGACCCTGACGAACTTCCCTTGATCGAACGAGGTCCAGAGAGCATCCTGTACGAAATCTCCATCAACAACAGGACCCCACATGCCGATGGGTAGCCGTGTGCCTCCAGGGTATGGGACCTTGATATTGGCGGCTATGATTTCGGCGATAGTCTTGGTTCGCATGCAAGCAATGGCATCTTCGGAGGAGCAACCGACATTTACGATGAAGCTTGCTGCTTGATACGACGCTTGTTCCACTGTTTTGATAGGTGAAGCAGATATTGACTCGGCTGCAGCAGCGTGGAACAACTTGTCGTCTCTACCCCCGTAAGCTGTGAGATGAAAGGCCACGCTCGCTCCCCCGGAGGAACTACCCCCGAGAACAACATGTCGTGGGTTGCCTCCAAATCTTGAGATATCCTTCTGCACCCACTGAAGGGCCTTTCTTTGGTCGAGGAGGCCATTGTTTGGCTGCACCTTGTCGCCATATGACAAAAAGCCTAGAACTGATACACGATAGTTTAGAGTGACGACAACCATTTTCATATCTGAAGCTCTGATCAGATCTGCTCCGTTTATCTTGGGTCGAGAGTTATCATTAAAGCCTCCGCCTTGAATGTAGATGAAGACGGGGAGCTTTGCGTGTCTGGAAGCGTTTGACGGCGCGAACACATTGAGGAACATGCAATCTTCAGACTGTGACTTTCCAATGAATCGAGCCTTTGCGCTCTGGGAGACGCATTTGAGCCTAAACTGAGCTTGTTTTAGTATCCAGTAGCTTCAAAGCTCCGTGTAATGGAATTGCTCACCTTGTTTGCGTTCTTTGTCTGACGACTCCTGACTGGGTCTTGGGGGGGCATGAATCTGAGATCACCCAGAGGAGTCGCAGCGTAACGCATCCCGAGCCAGTGAGTAACACCGTTTCCAAGGTCCTTGCCCCGGATTTTGCTGTATAATACATCGACGACGGGTGCCACGGCATTGACAAGAGTAAAAAACAGCACCATTGCCATCAAGGGCACACAAGTAGGACGAAGGTACATATTGGACGATGTATGAACTCACTGGCGGCAGTATGAGGAGCTGCATTGCTAGGCCCGGGCATGACATTTATACACCAACTCATTGCACCTTTTCTCTTGGATTTCGGCTACTGGTCAAACTGTCAGTCATGTTGGAGAAGGTCGAGAACCATTGCCAAGAGTCGGAACTTGCTGTTGGTTCAATATACCACCAACGCCAGTTGGTGATTATAACCAAATTACTGGAGCGACCCTCTTGTACATCATCGATAGAGGCATGAACCACGTTGTAGATCTTTCTTGGCATGTGCAGAAGTGAGAGCCATGATCAGGCTAGTTTGGCATTCGATAGGCGATGGGCCAACTGCCAGCCACGAGTATGGTCTATAACGGTTTCTATTGTGAAGTGTCAATACAGGAACCAGGCCATATTAGTATGCTTCTAGATCATGGTCCAAGCCTTGGCCAGGTATTATTCAATATGGAAGAAACGCTCCGATTCCGCAACTGGAAAAGGGGGAGGAAAGCTCAGCTGGCTCTTGTAAGCCACAAGATGAAATTTACAGACTGATTCTTCTTTGTTTGGAAAGATTCCAGAAGCGAAAGTCATTGATATGTGACCAATTTCGGATATCAGGCCATGCCCAACTTGAATTTTCAGAAGTTCTCGTGGCAGTTGGTACAACCATGAACAGTGAAGAGCAAGTCCCTATCACCTTTGATTTCCATCCTGGTTCTCTAGATACAACTCTCAGACCACATATGAACCTTTGGAGATCATTGCTAGATTATATAGAGCCTCCGAAATTCATTGTTCCGTGCTAAGATAGTGTCTCGTTGTTCCCGTTGTTGGCTTTGCCAAAACCCAGTCTGGGTTGGTATTATTCCCAACTTGGCTAATAGATTCAGCCACCAACAAACAGACAGATAGACAGGACAGGACAGGACAGAAGAGCTCGCAGAATGGTTTTTTTAGAATAGTCTAGCCCCAAAAGAAAATCCCGATTGTTGCTGATTATATTCACCGTTGGTCGCGTGGTTCGGAATGCCCGACGCCTGTTTCCATCCAAGTTCAATGAGCGAAGCCAAGAGGTCTCAATCGAGTCAACTGTGGTGTCAGACAAGCTGTTCCTGGCAGCTGATCTGGATCAAGACGCTAAGCTTTGATGCTATGGCTGGCCTCGCCCTTTCTGAAATCAACAAGAGTACTGAAGTTTTATCTCGCTCGGCCTTTGAGTTCTAGGACGCGAAAATTTATTCGTCCTGCTATCTGTGTTCCAGTTGTTGTAGTCGGCCAACTTTCAAGCAGTCATGAGCTTCACTAATTACTGCGGCACGAGAACGGCAACTCTGGCAACGAACCTCTGTAACCTATAAATGGTGACTCTCGAATTATTGAAGTTCATTTACCAGAAGCCTAAACTTTTCGTCCTTGATACAAGGGCTGGCTTAAACGAAGCAATTGTAGTTAAAAACAACTTGAGAGTATTGAACAATTATTCATCAGTTACATATAAGTCTTATGTATGATGTCTGTCATATCAGTATATACAGCCCCAGGACAAAAGGAACAGGACCACTATCCTTATCACTCACATGAAGGTCAAGGTTGTTCTTGATAAGACGAGAGAGTGAGCATCCCGTAACTACCCTACAGATTCCCACTCCTCCATCGTTGGCCCCACCTTTCCCAAGCTAGCTTAGCTTAGGTAGCTTCCAATGTTCCAACTCTTCTAGTCTTATCTTATCTGTCGCAAAAAAAAAATAATCGCTTTGGCTTCCCTGCCATTCAACCCGCCAATCTTCTGCAAAATTCCTCTTGATCAACTGGAAGGATCCAATGGCACCAACCTTGACATCACGCAAGCGAAAGGTTCTCGCAGAACCTGCTCCCGTTGAAGACGAGCTCGCTGGCTTGGAATTGGACGGCGTCTTGTCACAGAGCGAAGATGGATCTGACTTTGAGGAAAGCGATCTTGAGGATGGACTCGACGGCCAAGACACGAATGAGCACGACGATGATGAAGATGAAGAGGACGACGACGATGACGACGATGATGATGCGTACAGTGAAGACGCCTCCTCCGACGTAGACGACAACTTCGTGGCCCCTCCACCACTCGACACTGATGATTCGGAACCAAACTATCGCGTCGTCAAGGATGCCAACGGCGGGGAGCGCTATGAGTACGCTGAGGTTGATCCTGTCTATGACAGCGACGATTCAGATGCCCAAGGCCCAAACAACACAATTGGCAACATTCCCCTCTCCTTCTACGACTCCTACCCTCACATCGGATACGACATCAATGGCAAGAAGATTATGCGCCCAGCCACTGGGGAGGCTCTCGATGCTCTCCTGGACAGTATTGAGATTCCCAAGGGCTGGACTGGCTTGACAGATCCTGAAACTGGGAAGCCTTTGGACTTGACCCAGGACCAGCTTGAACTTCTTAAGCGACTACAGATGAACGAGGTCCCCAACGAGGATTACGATCCTTACCCCGTATGTCCTTCACTTCTATTCCACTGCTCGCCACTAACCATCGCAGGATATGGTGCCGTACTTCACCAGTATCGAGGAGAAGATGCCTCTGAGCGCTGCGCCAGAACCGAAGCGGCGATTTGTTCCCTCTAAGCATGAAGCCAAGCGTGTTGCCAAGCTTGTCCGGGCCATCAAAGAGGGCCGTATCCTACCCTACAAGCCTCCCGAGGAGCGGCAACGAGAACAAGAGGAGAAGGAAGAGTCTTACTACGATGTATGGGCAAACGAGGAGCCTCAAGACCCCCATGTAATGAACATCCCAGCTCCCAAGCTTGCTCCTCCAGGATACGACCTTAGCTACAACCCACCACCCGAGTACTTGCCGACCGAGGAGGAAAAGGAAGCCTGGAAGAACCAAGATCCCGAGGAGAGGGGAAAGGAGTACTTGCCTGCCAAATTTGACTCGCTGCGCAAGGTTCCTGGTTATGGCGAGTTCGTCAAGGAACGATTTGATCGCTGTCTGGATCTTTATCTCGCCCCACGAATCAGGAAGAACAGGCTCAACATCGACCCCAACTCTCTTCTGCCTAAGCTTCCCCGACCAGAAGACCTTAAGCCGTTCCCCACCCTCAACCAGACCATCTTCCGTGGCCATGATGGTCGAGTCCGTTCGGTATCGTTCAGTCCAGATGGTGAATTCGTGGCCTCAGGAGGTGATGATGGTACAGTCCGTGTCTGGGCTCTCAACGGCCACCAAGAATGGATGGCAAAGCTTAGTAGCGAGGAGCCAGTCAATATCGTGCGATGGCGGCCCAATAAGGAGACCTTTATTCTGGCAGCTGCGGCTGGAGAGGATCTCTTTTTTATGATCCCCTCGGTAGCTAGTGACGCTGTTGAGAAGGCCAGTCGCGATGTTCTCGACGCTGGCTTCGGCTACGCTACTAATGGAGCACAGCCCAGTACAGTCAATGGTGTGAAGAAAGAACCTCCTGCCAAGTGGTCACGACCTGGGGCCAAGCTGGAAACTGCCGGTGTGCTCCTCATGGCTACTGTTAGGTCAACGATCAAGGTCATCAGCTGGCACAGGCGAGGCGAGTTCATCTCCACTGTCTCACCAACCGGACAAAGGAGCTCAGTCGCCATCCACACGCTCTCCAAGCATCTCAGTCAAATTCCTTTCCGAAAGCTGCCTGGTCTTGCCCAGACGGCTCAGTTCCATCCTTCAAGGCCACTGTTCTTTGTTGCCACTCAGCGAATGATCAGGTGCTACGATCTCCAGCGCCAGGAACTTGTCAAGGTTGTCCAACCTGGTGCCCGATGGATCTCTTCATTTGATATTCACCCTGGTGGAGATAATCTTATTGTTGGCTCATACGATCGAAGACTGCTGTGGCATGATCTTGATCTGTCGTCTCGCCCTTACAAGACGATGCGATTCCACCCTGAAGCAATCCGCGCTGTCAAATTCCACCGCAGCCTGCCCCTCTTCGCTGATGCCAGTGATGACGGAACATTACAGATCTTCCATGGCAAGGTCGTGAGCGATCTTATGGAGAACGCGACTATTGTCCCTGTCAAGATGCTCAAGGGCCATAAAGTAATCAACAAGCTGGGCGTCCTTGACGTGGACTGGCACCCAAAGCACCCCTGGTGTCTCAGCGCTGGTGCAGATGGAACCTGCAGGCTCTGGGCATGATATCGGTTTGGTCAATGGTTCTACCCATGCCGTGAGGGGAGGAGAGAACTTAATTTTGGTCGCCGTGGACTTTCTTCCAGCGATGGCGTTAGGAAACAGAAAACAGAATCACATGATATTTTCATTCATCCTTATACACCAACCTGTTCAGCTACGTGACTCTGTTTTGAGATATTTCGTCAAGCATAAGAAAGTCTTTCCGTCTATTATCATACTGGATATCTGATGTGCATCGTTGATAAGGTAATGACTGGCGGCATAGCGTGAAGTACAGCCATGCATGCAATACCGATGCAACCTCTTAGAAAGCATCATATGTTTACAACTTTCGTATAGGATTTAACTATTGGCATTCACATTAATGAACGATCTTATTATGTGATTAACAAAATAGGATTCGTAAAACATAACTAGCTGCTAAAGCAAACGACCTAAAGTATCATAGTCTGCATCATCGTTATGGCTGTATCATAGCCAGCTTTGACCTTGTCTTCTCGCCTTTTCGTCAATGGCAACCTGCCACACTGATATCACATTTCCAAGACCACTAGGATCTTTTGACCGTCTGAGCACCAAAGTCAAATGTTCCGCGTCCTCCACACATTACAGCTCCTCGCGGATCTTTGCCTTGGCATCAGCCTCGGCCTCTGTAGCCTTCTGCTTCGCAGCCTGGCCACCAAGCTGAAGCTGGTTGGCAACCCAGTTGTAGGTATCGCGGGCGGTTTCTCCGAGCTTAGCAAAGAAAGTTCCAGTCGGGGAGCTGGTGCCGTACTTGAAATAGGTGGATTGCTTTCGTGCTTCGGCCTTGAGATCCTCAAGCTTAGATCCTTGTGGCACGGGCACACCATAGCTATCGAGGTAGGCCTTGAGGTCAGTCTCGGTCCACTCATCGAAGGCGGACTGCTTGGCAGAGTTTGTGGCAGAAGTGAGGTAGCTAGTGGCTGATGCCCAGGTAGATCCTCCAGCCGAAGAGGCGGAAGAGTAAGCGGACTGAGCAGCATCATAGAGCTCATCGCGAGTGGCATCCTTCTTCTCAGCTACCTGCTTGGCAGCAGCATTTCCGTTGCGTTGAAGGTACTTCTTCAAGTTGTCATAGCTAAAATCATCAAAAGTCCAGGCGTTTCCACCGTGGTAGGCAACATGAGCGTTCTTGCGAACGAGGGCCTCGAGTTCGTTCTTCTTGGAGCCCTGGGGAACGGGGACGCCACGAGCATCGAGGTAAGACTTGAGGCGGCTATCGGACCAAGTTCCAACAGCCTGGTTAAAAGCATCCTGAGCAGCCAAAGAAGCGCTATCGGTAGCTTTGGCGTACTGGTTCTGGGCGTTAGAGGTAGCAGCACCGTAGGCGGATGCGGCGCTGGCAGAAATGTTATCACCGAGGATATCGGCTCGATGCTTGCGGACAAGGGCGCGGAGTTCGTTGGCCTTGGTGCCCTGGGGAACAGCAATACCATTCTTGTCGCAGAACTCCTTGAGCTGGGACTCGCTCCAGGCATCAATGATCATGTCAGTGAGAGTGGCATATGCTCCCTGAGCGCTGGCGGTGGCACTAGCGGCCTGGTCCTGAGCCTTGAGGTAGGCAAGGCGAGAGTTGCGTCGAACCGAAGCAATGAGCTTGTCGCGTGTCATGGGCTGAGGGGCGGGGAATCCATGGGTGTCAAGCCACTCCTTGAGATCAGACTCGGACCATGTTTCGTAGAGCCAGTTACCAGGATACGAAGAGGCCTGGTTGGCCTTCTTGGCAACGGTCTCGTAGCTAGAACGAGCCTTCTGGAGAAGTGTGTCACGGTGGCGAGGTTGGGGGACTGTGATGAGAGATTAGTTCTCTGGCAACTCAGACCGATAACGACGAGAAGACTGAATTAACCTACCGGGAATTCCATGTTTGTCGGCAAATGCCTTCAACTGGCTCTCAGTCCAGGTATCGAGGATCCAATCCTTGACGCTGAGCCAGGCAGATTGGGCGTTGCCCTCAGTCTCATACCAGTTGGCCTTTACCTGGGACAAAAGGCTATCCTTCGAGGCAGCGGCCTCGTTCTTGGCCTCCTTGCCCTTTGATTGCAAGTAAGAGCTGAGTTGGTTAGTGTCCCAGCTGTTGTAAGGAGTAACAACGTAATTCTCCCAGTTCTTCTCAATCAAGGACTCGAGATCCTTGCGGTCGGCAGGTGTTGGGTAGGGGACATCGTGGTCTGAGAGCCAGCGCTCCAGCTCAGTCTCATGCCACTTGTTGTAAACTGATCTTTGTTAGACTATGCGGCAGACCAGGAGAAAGGGCGGGTAGCGTAGCAAGCTTACCAGGCTTCGAGCCAGGGAACCATGTGCTGGCGGTGACACCGTTGATGGCCACCGCGGCCAAGACGGCATTCAAAAATCTCATTTTGGCTGCTGCTGTTTCTGCTTCAGAGAGATGGAAAAGTTTCCTGGTACAGATCTAGTTCCTTGTGTAGACAATGCCAAGTCGCGACGAAATGACAGGAGCTAGGTAGCTAGGTCGCAGAAGTATGCGATAATACTTGTAGGAATCACCTCGAAGTAATTAGAGGGTAAAGAATTGGAAGAGGAATGATGAGAAATGGAAGAGTTACGCAACTGAAGCGAGATGAGGGAGGGAAAAGAACCTGGGAAAAGACAAGACAATACAAGCCACGGAGAAGGGGAAGGGGAAATCTATCACGTCACTGTGCCGTTGTCATGGGTGGCTGGAATTTGGCAGTTTACACCGAGTAACAGTGAGGTACAGAATACTTGCGCATCAGCTAAGCAAAGCCTGAATTGTGAGAGGCAGGTGCACCAAAACAGTCCCACAGGAGCCTGTATCACAATACTTCATCACTCGTCAACAAAGGGGCAGCAGCGTCACCAACAGCATCATCATTGCCTATCGCTCATCATCATCGCGATGTGATTTTGCACAAACAACCTAAGCCTTGGATGAGTGCCCTCCCCCCAGGCGCCACCATGACGTACTTTGCATGATCCGCCCCGCACAAGCTCCAAGCTCGAACAGGTAAGACGCCAGATGACAAAGCCCAGCCAGTGCATGTCGGTACATTCCGCTGCCAGAATCTGCCCTAGCTGGGCTGAAAATTGTCCTTTCCTGTGAAGCACATGCTTGTTTCTCGCCCATGTTTAATCGAACCGCACTCCAAGACGTCGATCTCGATTCTCGAATGGAACAAATGCTCCGGTGGGGTGGCCTACCTACCTTGCGGCCAAATACTGCCACCGTCTGAGTCTAGGTCACACAGATCGATAAATGAATGCCTGAGAAGAGAATATTTATTTATTTCCACCTGCACCAGCAGGTCTTCAGGTAGTTCTCAAATTGCTGCTGACATAATCATCTTTGCCTGGAGGAGTGTTGTAACGTAGACATGACTGACTACCTTGCTTTGGATTCGGTGAATGACTGTGTCTGTCTGAATTGTTGAGATCACTTTGATCGTATATAATCATAAATCTAGGTATACCATAAAGACATTGGCATTCACGATTACGAAGCGTCAATGTCGGGCTTTTGGACTCCCGAGTCGTGTCGATTCACCATTGAAAAGTCAAGGCCCCATGAGACACAGCGATATGTCGAGATAGTGTTACATTGATCTATGTTCGCCTTTGCCGCGTCTAATCCCCAATGCCCTGGCTCATTTGACCCGTAACCCGGTCCGCAATATCTAACATCGTCACAATTAAGCGTAGAAGTTGACGGTCTGTTTAGCATAGTTAGCAGGCAAATCCAATGACAAAACACTAAGCTTTCGTCACTTACGTCCTTTTTCTTGGCCTGCACCTCAGCAATGGCGTCAACGTAATGCTCGTGGCCAATCTTGTTCTTGCCTGATCGCAAAGCAATCATACCAGCCTCCACACAAACAGCCTTCAACATGGCACCTCCAAACTCATCCGTGCTTCGGGCCAACTCACCCCAATTGACACCGGGGTCAACCTTCATCTTGCGGGAATGGATCTTCAAGATCTGAGCGCGGGCCTCCTCATTTGGCAGGGGGAATTCAATCTTGCGATCGAGGCGGCCAGATCGTAGAAGCGCAGGATCAAGAACATCGACTCGGTTTGTTGCAGCCAACACCTTGATTCGGTCGTCAGAGGCGAAACCATCGAGCTGGTTCAGTAGCTCCAACATGGTTCGCTGTACTTCACGGTCGCCGCTCTTCTCACTGTCGAAGCGCTTGGTACCAACCGCATCCAACTCGTCGATGAAAATAATCGCAGGAGCCTTTTCTTTAGCCAGCGCAAAACAGTCCCGTACGAGCTTGGCGCCATCGCCTATGAACATCTGGACCAGTTGAGGACCTGCCAGCTTCAAGAATGTAGCGTCCGTCTGTGCTGCACAGGCTCGTGCTAGTAAAGTCTTGCCTGTACCCGGGGGGCCATACATCAGTGCACCTGAGCAGAGTTAGTACATACGATAGAGTTTCATGACTTCTCTTCCATGTTACCTTTTGGGGCCTTGATGCCAATCTTCTTGAAGCGCTCAGCCTCCTTCATGGGCCACACGATTGCTTCCACCAACTCTTCAATCTGCTTATCCAGTCCACCAACATCAGTGTACTGTTCTGTGGGTTTCTCATCCACCTCCATAGCCTTGACGCGGCTGTCGTACTCGGCCGGGAGCGTATCGAGAATAAGATACGAATCCTTGTTCACACCAATGAGGTCGCCAGGCTTCAAGTTATCGGCATCGACCAGGCCAATCAAAGGGAGAAAGATTGTTTGTCGTGTGGACGTCTTGATGACAGCTGATTTTCCAACTCGAGTGGCATCCAGGTCAATGTTGGCACCCTCTTCTGATGATTCGGCCGTAGGGTCCAGGTCAAGCAGCTCAACGACGTTGCCGACGAGGTACGGGAGTTGTCTATAAACCGGGTCAGCGATGACATTCGCATTTCCATGGCTCACCAGGAACAAACCTGTTGTTGGCAATCTTGTCCTGGTTCTCTTTGATCTTCTCACCCATGGCGGCCTTCTCGTGTGATAACCGCGAGAACTCGCTCTTCATGATGCGAGAATCGTTCTCTAGCAAGCGCTTGCGGGTTTGAATGTCTTGTGTGCTCAGCCCCAGGATCTCATCGTCAAGGATATCGTCCTCCTCCTCCTCCTCTGCATCTTGCATGTCGGCGTCGCCATCAGTAGGCTTCTTCTCTTTCTTGTCGTCGCCATCTCTCTTCTTCTCCTCCTTGTCTCGGCGGTCGAGATCATCGAGCTCCTCGAGAGTCGACATGATGGGAAATGATGTGGATTAAATCTGACTGCGATGGGATGATGTAGCCACAAGCTCGTAATAGGGTTGATAGAGGTGAGCGCAAAGTCGTTGTGGTTGATGTGCAGCAGAGAATTGAATGCAAAAGCCAAATGCTATGGATGCTCCAACCACAGACACTAAAGATCAAGCTGTCAGGTAGGCAGTCAGGTCGCGCGTAATCAGCCTGGCCTGCCAGCAACAGCACGGCATTGGCCCCATTGTTGACCTTGCAGTGAGTGCCGGGGATCGGCGGTGGGTTGATCCGGTGCACGGGCCAGGCCCGGATCGAAACTCTCGCAATTGGCATATAGCGACTGTGAGTGCTTGTGGAATTTTTGATCTGGCTAGGTACGGCGCCAGGAAGACAGTTTCATGTATGTACAGCATTAACTCTCGAATCTTTGATTCTCTGTTCTGACGTGCTCCATAGCTAGAAAATATGGCTTCACGAATATCAAGGGCTGCCTGTCTGCGGCAATTGCGTAGAGAATCACACCTCTCTCACAGGCCATGGACAACGACTCTTCGCAGTATTTCGACGTCGCCAAACCATTCGGCTGCGGTGACCGAGGTCCGGAAACCAATCGACCATGCTCCCATCACCAAACCTCCCAGCGCCCGGCCTGTTGAGACGAGAAAGAGCCAGCTGATCCGAACCTACACATCACTCCTCCGGACAACCCCCTTGATCTTATTCTTTCAACATAGCAATTTGACGGCCGTAGAGTGGGCTGCAGTGCGGCGAGAGCTGAAGAAGGCTCTTTCCACAGTTCCCCAGCCCAATGCGATTCCTGGTGCTGAACCTGTCGATATCACCCCATTAGTCCAATTACAGGTGGTGCGAACCAATATGCTGCGCGTGGCACTCAAGCTTGTTGAGTTCTACGACCCCGAGGCTGCTGCTGCGTCGGACAAGACAACAAGAACGGTGCGGGGTCCTGTTGTGCATGATCTTTCCGAAGCTGCATATGAAACCATTAAGAATGCCCAAGTGCCCGAGGACTCCAGCTACGCTCAAATCGAGCCAGTAATGGTTGGCCCCTTGGCTGCATTGGTTCTCCCCGCCGTCTCTCCGGCCCACCTCGCGGCAGCATTGAGTGTTCTGGCTCCCGTTCCGGGGAAGTTCCCGGCTCCTTCGAGAAAGAAGAACCCTGGTTTTCACGATCCCATCTGCCAAAGTGGTCTTGCTAAGTTACTACTTGTCGGTGGCCGCGTTGAAGGCAAGATCTTTGATCAATCTGGTATCAACTGGGTTGGCGGTATTGAGGGCGGCCTGGAAGGCTTGAGGGGCCAGTTGGTGGCCATGCTCCAAGGCGTCGGATTGGGTATCACCAGTTCCCTGGAGGGCGGAAGCAGAAGCTTGTGGTTGGCTCTGGAGGGCAGAAAGGGCCAGCTTGAAGACGAGATCAAGGGCGACAAAAAGGATGGCGAATGAACTTAGAGCTCGGGAGGTTTTGAGATACGATGTACAAATAAGACGCCTTATAAAGGCCATGTATATGTAGGTGTACGAACAGCATATTGGATCGCTGCAATATTAAAGCTGGCTAGATCAAGAGTTCTTCCAGCAAAGCCATATTCTATGGCACCTTGTCCGTTGATTAGAGAAGCAAATGCTTGTAAACCCTCTGTTGCTTTGGAGAAAAGGTAGAATTGTGCCAGTTGATATTCGACCTTGTGTAGCAATAAGTGTGGCTGTATCCGTAGATAATGTGTGGCTGAAAGCTAGGTACCTACCATTATTACATGCAGGTACTCTACTAGCTAACTCCTACCTTACCAAGAACAACCTTGACCTACAATCACCGCCCCGCCTCTCGATCAACCCAGTAGTCGCAAACCACTTTACAACAACACGACACAATCACTGCGTTTCTCCAAAGTATCACAAAGCTGTGAAATAAAAGGAAGACAAGGCGAGTGGTAGTTACTGGAGCTCGCACGGCCTGTTTACTGCTCTATCGTCATTCGATTCACCTACTGGACCGTCTGCATCGAATCGGCAACACAATTCAACACAAACAATATGGACTTTGCTCCCTATCAATCATCTCCTCCGGAGCACTCACGGGTGACCTCTCCCGACTACGCCTCTCCTCGACCATCCTACGATGCCAGACGATCGTTTTCACCCGTCGCATCTCCTCCACCGCTTCAGCACCCACAGCCACAAAGAGGATGGAGTGGTTTCGATGGCCAGTCAGCTGGCTGGGCGGCCATCAGTCCTGATAACCGCGCTTTCGGTGGATCAAGCACAATGCCTGGTACCTATCCTACTACGGAAGTCAGCGAGTTCGACACAAGCTTAGGGATGCGCCTGGATTACGAAGCTTGTTTAGCATATGTTGCATTTCCACCACTGGGTGCGATTATACTACTGATCTTGGAACGGAATAGTGACTATGTGAGGTACGATTGTATCTTTATGGCCGCGCTCAAACTTTCATCAATATCTGTTCGTTTTCTGACACTCGTATTAGGTTTCATGCTTGGCAATCTGCATTGCTATTCACAGCCATTATGGTCTTCCATCTTATATTTTCATGGTCAACGTTCCTGAGCTGGCTCTTTTTTCTTTGCGACATTGCCTTAATCGCTATTCTCACTTTACGGGCCTACAAAGATGCAGAGATCCTCGACAGGTACGCGGAATCCCCCGGTTCATTCTGATCTTGTTATTAATAGACCGCTTAGATTCGAGGTGCCATTCTTCGGTGCCCTGGCTAGCCGATTCCTTGATGATGAGTAAGGCATGATTGAGCTGCACACGCTGCTTGTGTTGTACTGTTTTTTTCCCCTTCTTTTAGTTTCGTCCATTTTAGTCGTATTCACAATACCCCTTCCCAGCTCAGAACTGGGAATCGAATTACCTCATGTTAGAAGCAACCCTCGGTCTTATCAAATTAATAGATATGCTCACACTCCTTCTAGCACACCTGGATTCCTCTAGAAAAGCAAGTGCCTTGAGCCTTGGCTCGTCCGGGTTGAAATTCAGCTGATACATCCAGCTATTGAAAACCATCTTTGCCAAGATTTCAAAGTGGCTCAGCGTATCTGAGTTTACTTTCAGTCATGGGGAGACAAGAAAGAAGTATCTTATTTATGTCTCGCAAAAAATACCTTGAACCCGCGAGGAAGGCCTCTGCAGAGTCCGTATTCTCAGATCATGCTAGTACTCCGTGAAAATCTATCACTCCTTTAAAACTTGCTAAGCACAGGTGCCACTGTACCCTTGAGTGTAGGCCTCTCCTCGAATACAACCTCTCCGATCTTGGTTTCTGGGGAACTACCCACTTCCAGCCACCTTGCCAGAAGGTCGTTGCTTTCCTTGGGCTTTACAGAATTATCTCGAGTTCCGACAGTTATGTGAGCAACGCGGTTTACACACTGCCATTGGTCATTGCGGTCTGCTAGGCGAACCACGATAGCCATGATTCTGTCATCAAACACAGCCTATTTACGGTCAGTTGCGGTAGAGCTCATGAGTTTTGGGCCAACTTACTCGTTCGAGCATGACATCGCATTCGCCAACTTTCCCTTCAGGGTCTCCAGCAGCCTCTGCTTCTTTCTGCAGCGCAGCGTATCTCTGCCAGAGCTCAGGGTGCTCCTTACTGCCGGACTTGTGCAGCAAAGTCACATGGAATTTTGGCTGTATGCGTCGTGTCTGTTTGAGTTGTGTATAAAGCCGCGAGGTTGCAGATTGAGTGGCTTTGAAAGCTTGCTCAAGAGCATTGTTGACCTCTTGGGTCGAGATGCCCACAGACATGTACTCCATCTTTCTTGGCTTCTGAACTTTAGGATTTTGCTGCTGAGGATAGCTTTTTTTGCCCCTGTCAGGTATATCGTGCCTAAAGTCTGGTTTGTAGCCGAGGGCGTAATCCATGGCAGCATCAAATGATGCAGCAGAGGGAATCTCCTTGACAAGATTTGGAAACAACTTGTGGAGTTGTGTGACGAGAGTTTCGAGATTCTGTCGGCTGCTAGCTGTAGGATCAAGGTCGATCACAGCATCGAAGCCATCGTCGGGTCGAGAGTGCGGGTTACAGGCTTCATATCGGTTGATAAAACCCTCCATTACGCCAATGAACTTCTCTTTGTCGCTTGCTGCATGGATAGTCTGGTGGTTATCACCCCGGGCAATAATTCTTTCCTGTGTGATTCGCCGGATCTCATCGATGGAATCTTCATCATGCTTGAAGTTCATGCAAACAAGCTTGGCAGAAGAATGCTGGAGCTTCACATCCGTGATGATCTGCTTCCGTTCGTGTCTCTGTGCATTGTTTCGGTCTGCAATCACGGCAGGATGGTCTTTGAGCTCGTCCAACACCATCTTTGTGAAGCGCGGAGGCCGGCCCTTGCCAGAGATATTGTCGTTTTGAACATGACCCCAACCGAAAAGGCGCGAGAGCCCCATAGCAAGGGTTGTCTTACCACAGCCAATGGTGGCAATGGGACATAGAATAACGTCACGAGTGACCTCTGTCATTACAACAGGATCCAGCTCTCCCATATTAGCTGCATCTGCACCGTTGATGTTCTTGAATTTCAAGAAGTCATCTCGGAGAGCGATGATCCCGTGGTTGTTATTGTACTCCTTTCCCAGCTTCGGGTCTGCAGCAAGTCGTCGTCGGGCGTAAAGCAGATACTCCTCGGTGATTTTGGTGTGTTTCTTGAACTTTGGCTGTTTTCCAGCAATTAAAGCCTTGGTACATTCTCTCCACTGGCGGTACATTAGGTAAGGCTCCTCAAACTTGTACTTGAAAAACCAGTCGCGATATGGATGTGTGGAAGGGTCGTGGGACATCTTGCAACGTATAACAAAACCCTCGACATCACGACCATCGTGTGCTCCAGTTTCAGCTACTTCTTCAAGAAAAGCCTTAACTTGGTGGATGTCGTCCATTGTGATAAGACCCGTTTTGCGAAACGCCCACGCATCGGCAAACTCCTGGACGAAACGACTGGGGTAGGTAGCGAACTCGGGTAGGTTGAGGTTGATACCATGGAGATATAGTCCAGCCTTATCTGGGCCGTATGCTAAGATATGCTCCTCAAATTGATCATCACAAAGCTCCGCGACGGCAGTCACGTTCCTCTTGCGGAGCTCTCGTGCAAGATCTGCTTTAGTCTTGCCAACGGCAGCCAGTTGTTGTTCTAGGCGCTTCTCTCCGGCGCTGGCATGGCTGACTTGGATGTCATCTCGGTCGCCAGTTGAGTGCTTGCTGCACACAATCAATGTGTCGTCTTCCAGTCCAGCAATGAAAATGATGCAGCCGTTCTCTTTGAGTGTCAGCTCATAGGGGCCTTGAGTGCGTGTGAAGATGTTCTCCCACTTGGTCTCATGAACCTCGTTAACATTGAAGAACTTGTCGTAGCCTCTCACGGCGATTTCTGGCTCGTTTCTTCGTGTCTTGGTAGTGAAGAGGCCGCGGGCATATGTGGGCAAACCACGTCGCTTGTAATCCCAGTCCTGCAAGCGCCAGGAGTCGACTTGGATGCCATCCGCTGATCCTTTAACATCGAACGTTGTCTTTTTGACTGCGAATCCGCCGCGTTTCTTGTCCTTTCGGGCACTGTCCAAAGCACGCACCACGTTCGCCACGGCTTGAACGTCCTGGGGAGTATAAGGAGCAGACATTCTGTCGAGAGCCGATGAAGAAGCTCGAAGATTCTGGTAATTCGTGGTGACTCTGCTGAGGGGTGTGAGAAGAGAACACAAAGAACGACGGTAAACAAGCATGAGGTTGATGGAGATGGTTCTCGGGCAAGATGATACGCTTTCCTCACTCGAGGGGCAAGCAATCTTCTGTCGAGAGATCTGAGCTCACTTGTTCCAGCAAACTCAAAGGCTTATTTTCCGTAGCCTTGAGCATCTGAGATCTGGAGGGACTCACTTTTTAAAAATCCGAGTCAAGTAAAGAGTCGTGCGCGTGAAGGGACTTACTGCAGTTGCTTACAGTGCTCTGTCAGGTGGACTGAACTGGGCAACAGTGTGCGTATTATTGTGCCCAATGGCAGAAGGGGTATATGCAAGTATGTATCAACTGAAACCAGATGCAGGTATTGCCCTGGCTGGGCCTTTTATATGCAGGCCGGGTCCACGATGGGATTTCTGTAGACGCAGCTCAAATGAGGTTGTGGCGGTTGTGCTAAGGTCGATGCGGGCCAGGAATAGGTCGAAAACTGCCTTACGGCACCGCCTCAATAAGAACGAACTTAGGCTCTCTTGGTGAGTCAGGCCGCTATCCCCGAGTAGATAGCAAGGGTTACACGGAGGAGAAATCAATGTTCAATCAAAGGTCCGAGACTCTTGTGTTCAAGTTGGGAAACTGGTAAACCTTTTACTGAGTCATCCCATGGATCCTTCCACCATCAGGTCAGGCAAGCACTTTGGATGTGGAGGGGCAAAGTACTAACTCTGGATGGGTCTTACCCTGGAATGATGGCATTGCTGTGTCTGGTGCGTCACTGCCGGCAACAATTGAACGCCAGGTATTGAAAAGAAATTCAAAGTGACTTGTAGGGGCTAGATTAGTGAGTAGAGCCTGTCTTCTGCCTAATAAAACGCCATGGGTTGATATGGATAGGCACCCAATGGAGGAAATACTGATATTTTGTCGTCATGATGGATAGTGGGGTTCCACATGCAAGCTACCCCGCCAAAATTCTTCCTTCTACATACAAAGTTTCAATGGTCTCGACACTGACGACGCGACAAGCTAGAAACCTATCTCAACTTTGTATATAAAAGAAACTACCTATTCAGACCTCACTTTTTGTCGCAAAACAGCATCGAACATAAAACTACAATCATGTCTGCCCCAAACCCATTCCTTCTTGCAGCCGATAACAACCCCACGTTGCTGCCCCTCCTCCGAGAGAACCCAGCACTCGCATCATCGCAGGATGAGCATGGCTATTCACTCGTCCACGCTGCTGCCAGCTACAATCATCTCGACCTCCTGCGAACGCTAGTCCGCGAGTTCAACGTCGACGTCGACCTGAAAGATGAGGACAACGAGACTGCCTTGTTTGTTGTCGAGACCCAAGATGCCGCGCAGGTCCTTGTCGAAGAGCTCGGAGCAAACATCAACCACCGGGGATCAGAAGGGCTGACAGCTAGAGAAAAGATTGAAGCGGAAGCTGAATTTCCTGCTGTTGCGGAATACTTAGCCATGATCCAAGCCAAGAATGCCAATGACCCTGCCTCAACTGCAGCGGCTGTCATGCCTGAAGTTATCCCTCCCCCTCCAGAGGGAATGAAGGTTACTGTTGGTACTATGGACGAGACGACAGACATTCCAGAGGAAATAGACCCAGAATTCCGAAGAAGAATCGAGGAACTGGCTCAACGCGATGATTTCAACACCCCTCAAGGTCAAGCCGAGCTGCGGAAGTTGGTTGAAGATGCTGTCCTGGGCGACAGTGGTGTCGGGGATGAACGAAACGTACGATCAAAGCAAGACTAAAGGATCAGTCTGACGACTTTGTCTCCCACATGAGATACCTGCCGGTCGCGCTGGGTGGTCTCAGGATAGTGAGGTCATCACTGTTGCCAGATACACTTCTTGAAAAGCTCGTAGCACTAAGGGAAAACCATGTTCTCGAAGGACAAGCAACTAGCACATCCATGAGCAAGCCCCGAAGCCACTGTGCTGACATGAAACCCTCCCAACTCAGCTTGCACACTTTGGATTCCTTGGGATCGTCGCCTGGCACAGAATACCTTGACAGATAGGGGTCGATGCTGTCACGAGGCTCCACACGCGAGCTACCAAGGCGAATGAGTGAGAACCACTCGTAAACTTCTGTGGCGAAATATTCCAGAGACTCACGATCATTCTCAGAGAGAACTTCTGGATCGACATTGAGACTCGGTTGAAGAACAGCAATATCTTGCGATATGCTGGATGTTGATGTACAGGCTGTAGGAGAGAACCTTTGCAGGGGATCAGGATTCGGGACTTGAAAAGCATTAGTATGAGATCAAAATACGGGTTTAAAGAGCCTGGCTATGCCTACTTTGGGTTGTGCTATTGCAGAAGAGCCATGTCATGGGTTGAGTGAAGACAGACTTGCAGGCGTAGATCAGCCGGTCATAGCCCTTGTGTCCTCGAAGCATGGATGGATCTCTAAGGTTGTATGTTACCACTTCACGAGAGTTAGCTGTCGTTTCTGGCACTTGTTATCTGGCCACTCACTCCAACGTGGTTTTGACCCTCGTCCACCCTTTGCACCGTATGGTTTACCAACAAGTCCTGCACGTTCATATGTCTCCTTGTCCACAAACATACTCAATATGCCTACTAATAGTCAGTGGAAAATCTTCAAGGATTTGATCCGTTTGGATACCTTCGCGCAAGGTAAATAGCATGCCGACTGTTGTCTGTCCTTCTGAGAGCATCATGATATCACCTGAGAACAGGGTTAGCGTCAGAAGTACTTAGGCACAGGGCATAGTTCTTACCCTTTTTAATATACTCGGTGAAAAAGTCGCCTTGTAGAATATCTCCAAGAGACATTACTACCTTTGAGTAGCAAGGGGCATTTTGAGCGTTGCTGAGCTGCTGACAAGCAGCATCGTAGGCCTCTGAAGGTAGAATTAGATCAACCTAACCTAAGTTCAGTATTTGATTTACTCTGAGCGTCTGTAATTGTTTGATTCGAACCTTATGAATGAAATCCAACGACATAACTGCAGTCCAAGGCTTGCCCTTGCGAGGAGCCTGCTTGGTGTCAAGGTATCCCATGGTGCCGTATGAAACAAAACATTTTGGCGACTGATAAATCGACGGCGCAGCAGCTGGAAACATGGTTCAAGGTCGGGAAAAGTATGGTATATACTGTGTGTGATGCCAATAGCTGATATTGCGCGTGTGTAAGTCGTAAATGCCAGGTGCTGGGTAACACAAATAGAACGTTTTGGTTAGCCGGGTTTTTCTCGGCGAATTTTTCTCTCAAGACCATAACCTAAAGAGGACCTCTTGGTCGACCTGCATCCTCAACTCTGCAAATCACTAATCTTTCTAGATATTTTTACTGTGAAGAGGCACTGAACACTCTGTATGTTCACATCTGAGTAAGGCAATTTCCTGGTCAATAAAGTCAGGCATTTGGTGTGACTTCCCCCACTAGGTACCCCAAGTCACAAATCCTAGGGTAAAGAACTTCCTCTTACACAACAAGATTCACCAGAGACTGAAAATTGAGATGGATTTCCTCATCAAATTTGCTCAGGCGCATGAGACGTTTCGGGTCCCTGAGATCGAGGCTTTGGCCTTGGTTGAAGGCCTGGACATGAAAATAGTCGACTATAGCCAAGATGTCTGTTCTCCCATGTATAATATTGGTTAATCCCAGAAACTTACTGTGAATAGTCCCCATTCTGCATCGTGCACCTTGATTCGGTTGAATCGGCTAAGCGTCTGGCCAAGAGATCCATTCTCATTCAATCTATCCATGAACTCTGGGGCAAAGGAAGCACACTGGATGAACTTCATGAATCAGTCAAGACAAACACATCTCATGTTTGGGATAGTTATCTTGGAAAATCATTCAAGTTCGATGTTGACCCATACCAAGGAACTCGTTCAGCCAAAAAGAGGATCGAACTTATCAACTCTTTCCGATTTCTGGGCTGGACTGGGCCTGTGAAAATGACCAACCCTGACAACTTGTTTACCATCTTCGAGATGTGGCCCTATAACAGCGTCCCCTTGAATATTCCGGACCCTACAACAATGTATCTCGCACGGCATGTAGGGAACTCATCGAGAGAACTCTTGGTCAAGTTCGACCTAAAGAAGCGAGGATATATCTCAACCACAAGTATGGACTCTGAGCTCGCTCTCGTCACCGCCAACCTTGCGCTTGCGGCCCCTGGCAAGCTATATTACGACCCGTTCGTTGGGACTGGTTCCTTTCCCATCGCCTGTGCCCATTTCGGTGCCCTTGCATTCGGAAGCGATATCGATGGTCGAAGCATCCGCGGCGAGGGTGGCAACAAGAGTTTGAAAGGCAATTTTGACCAGTATGGCATTGGGTCTTGCTTAGGAGACGTATTCTCGGCTGATTTGACCAACACGCCAATCAGGAGGCATCTTCGTACATGGGATGGAATTGTTTGTGATCCTCCTTATGGCGTGAGAGAAGGGCTGAGAGTTCTTGGTCTCCGTGACCCTGAGAAGACACCCTGGCTGATAGAGCAGGGGAAGCAACATGGAATGCACGTAATGCCCTAGCCGTTTGATTTGCGCACTCGCTGACTTGCGCAGGAAACCAACTTATGTGCCACCTAAGAAGCCTTATAGCTTTCTGGTGATGCTCGATGATATCTTGAGTTTTGCAGCCGAGACTCTGGTGGATGAAGGGCGATTGTCATTCTGGATGCCAACAGCTAACGATGAAGACCAAGAGATTCCCGTACCCAGCCATCCTCGCATGGAAGTTGTGTCTGTCTGCACCCAACCGTTCAACAAGTGTGGGTTGCCGCTGGAGCCTTGTTGCTAATCTTGCATCTACTGACATTTTTCGCAGGGTCAAGGAGACTCATCACCTATCGTCGGCTCCCCGACTCACAGGTCTCGCAAGAAGCCCTCGAGGCTTACACAAATAGACAGAAGCTCACATTGAACGGAACATCGGCAGACGAACTCAACCCGTTTCGACGTGGATATTTCAATAAGTTCGAGGCTGAAGAATAAAACCTCGCTTGCAGGAAAGACTTCGCTTTGCTCCCATCAAAGACTTCCTATGCTCCGCATTCATATGTGATAAACTGCCCATAAAACCCAAATCCATATTACCCACAGAAGCAGCATACGTAGGCACGTCAGGATGTCATCATATCGGGTCCTAACCCTTCCCGTATTCCCATCTATATGTATGTTGTTATAACAGCGCTGGATATCTCAAACCGGTCCTACAACAAAGCCAAGTCCATGACTGACGATGGGCTTGTAGCGGCGCCGCGCTCCGAGATTGTAGTAAACTTTGTACCGAGGTGGCCGTAGCTTTAACGGAATTCGGTAGCGGCAAAGCATCCCCGATCGGGGACATGCTTCAGCTCCAGTTGCTGGAACCTGTTACCGATTAGTATGCAAGAATTGATGCGTGATTGATATTGGTATGGGGAACACACTTTTCGCTTTTAGAGTGAAAGTAAATACCGCTTACTTCACCCTTGACCTGGTTGAAGCAAATGTAGTAGAAGCCCTCAAAGCTGGCACCCGTTATCGTGCGAACTCGATGGTCTGGAACCAAGAAGTGCTCTTTCCAGCGCATGAAGATGGTTTCTCGTTGGGCAGCATCTCGAATGGTGACAGGTCCCTTGCGAGCTTGTTTTTGGAAAGGACGGAAAGCCGTGAACTTGGCCCAATGACTCAAATCAACCTTGCTATTTGCGCCCCAGTTCTCGTGTTGTGTGTAGAAACTGTACTTGGAACCAATGATTTCACCCTCGAAATATGTCGTGAGAGTGGGATGGTCTTCAGTTAGACCTTGAGAATAGAGTTAGTGTTAAATTGCCGATCTTGATTGCACTCTGGCCACCAACCTTGGATACGCAAATAGCCGCAGAGAAAAGACTCTCGCATGTCAACATGCTTAATTTCGACCTGCACATCGTAGACCTGCCTCTCTGACTGTTGCGTGCCATGGAATTTGCTGCCCGGACGTAGGTAAGACGAAGGAGCCGATGGGATAGTCTTTTGATTGTCAGATCATTGCATATACGATGCAATCGACGTTTTAACTTACCCTCATACATGAAAAGTCAGAGCCCATGGATGGAGACCAAAGCTCATCTTCTTGTGCATCGATATCGACCCAATCTAACTCTCCATTTGGCGATCCTCTCCGTCTGGATGGTTCTCGTGCGATTGATTCGGTTTCAGATGCTCGTTGCGTGCTATTCGAAGGCTCTCGACTCAACTGACTGCCGATCTCGGCCTCTCTTCCCTTGATTTCAGACGCTGGGCCGCTAGGCATTGGAGTAGTGGCAGCCGTAGTAGCGGTTTGGGGACGAGGAGACATGGTGGAAGACCTTGAGGACTGTTCATCGGATGGACGCCCATCGTACATGATGGCATCGTCGCTTGGGCCTTCGGGCGCAGCCGGCGCGTCGACGGCAAGGGGCGAGCCGACATCAACAGGAAGATTGGAGTCGGGTAGGTCAGCATCGTGGATTTGATTATCGTCGTGTGACTGCCAGTTAGGACGTGGTTGATGTTGAACATCGTCAGGACATGTCGAGAAACTGTAGGACCGAGGCGAAGCGGCTTCGACCGGCGGATTTGATGATGGTGTTGGCATTGTTGTGACGTGGGATGGGAGATGATACAATTAAACAGCGAAAATTTCGACGCGCGATAGACAGAAGTTCATAAAGAGGACAGGAAGAGTCGTGGGTATCAAATCGACCAGTAGAACATGTATGTATGTGTGTGTGTGTATGTTGCGAGGATTTGACTGACGTCGAGCGCTGTTGGAGGCCAGAGGGGAGAACAAGCAAGTTAGTGCTAATCACCAAAACGGGTGGCGATCTCGGGGACTAGCGACTTTGGTAGAGTTGAACGGGGGCACCTGAAAGCCCTTTAGAAAGCAAACAACGTGCCCATCACAAGAGTTGGGGGAGAGGGTGGTGTAATAATAATACAGGCGAGGTGGAAGAAAGAAGGTTAAAGCATGGAGGCCAGATCACATATGGATATGGGTCGATGATCACTGATGGATGGCAAGAAAAGGGTCAAGGTCGGTCGGTGATGCTGCTGGGTTGTCGTCCATTTTCATACCCAGTATCGACGGACGAGGGGGCTTGATTTGCTGCCATCCGGGGTTTCTGCACCTAACTAGCGGATTTGTAGGTGGGCCATCCACTCCACTCGGCAAGACGGGGAGTTTTCCAAGTCTCCCTAGCTCATGATTTTACAGTCCAGTCCAGTCAGTACTGGTCTTGGGTTGGAGGCAGATGCCGTGTAACTTGGGGTATGCAACTCCTTAAACAACATGACGGCCTCTTTAGATTGGAGTAATGTAGAGAAGAAACCCTAGGGAAATATCCGACAAACAGGCCTTACCGACTCTTATACCTACAAGATTTACTCAGGTACCAGAGACAGCCAGCCTTCTTCCCTACAGAAGGAAAGATAAGCAGCATGGATCCTAACGGCGAAAGTAGCCCAAGAAGATCGAGTGAATCAATTGTCCGTCCGTATTTCCATCATCTGTCACTCGACTTTGCCCGAAACTCCCAAGTCAAAGTCTTTGTGGAAAGCTTTGCCTACCTCCCCGTGTGACATGTAACTTAGGAAGATGCAGATCGAGGTGTCCTCTCCACTACGATTGATTCCTTTTCATATTCGGCTGAGATGCTGAGGCTTGACCAGGGTCTGGGTCTAGGTCTAGGTCTCCCTAGGTCCAGTCCCAGTTCCGTCTTAGCGGGCCATTGCGAACCTTATTAACATGGAAGACCTTTCATCCACTGTTAGTTTCAACAAAGAGAAATCTCACAATTGAGTTTTGATCTCGAAGTGGTGATGACGGGCCCTCCCTCAGAACTCGGGTTGACGCCTCCCTCATGTTCAGAATCAGATGCTTCCTCATGCAAATGAACAAGAATTGGGCTGCTTCCGTGCCGTGCCCCCAGAAGCGCCCAGGCGTTATCCATCGGGCAGCCCCAGCACCCCCCACCACGTTGCCGCTTGCATTTCGTATGGGGTGATGGGCCTCTAACTTAGGTAGGGAGACATGATGCATGCGCACGCCAACTCCGAGACAGACCGTTTTGCTTTGCTTTGCTGGCATGATCTGAAATCATCATACAACGTTGGTAATTTCCATCTCTATCTCGCATCATCGTTTCCTTCACGGGTCTACCCGTCGCCTATTCATTACCTTAGCTTTGCAGTATTGGAGCCTCAGCCACCTGCATCATATCTTCTAAATCACTTCTGGTTGCCGTTTCTCCTGAAGATGGCATTTCACTATTGATTGTTTGTTTTGCAAGTGCATAGAGCTTTTCCAGACCGCTCACTCAACCTCACATGTGAGCCTGTCCAGGGAGTCTGGTCCAAGCGTGTGCTACCTACTCAGGTCTTGATTAGGATCGCATATTGCAGGCTGAAATATAGAGCATGTAGCATGATCCGACTCGTGTCCTCAGGTACGATTGGTAGTTAGCAAATGACTCCATTCACCGTCGTACCACATTCTCCAGGGCATTATCTCAATATTTCCCGCATCTGTGACTCCCAGCGTTTCCCTAGTTCTCTGATCGAACAAGTTTGATGAAGTTTCTAATGCTATCCCACCTCCCAACAATATTGCACAAAATGCTTTTATGCTTTTCCATGAGATCGCTTCTTTGGTGATATTGTTCTTCCATTCGTGATATGTACACATGGCTTGTTTCTGGTAGTCTTTCGCGCCTTTCTTTCACAGCTCGGGTATCGTGATTAGCTACATCCGAATTATCACCTCTATTCTATCATCAAGATTTGCATCCTCGACTTTTCGATCCCACAACACCGTATCCCATTATTTTTAGTCGGGTCCGTTCTTAAATTGGCTTGATCTTGAAATGCAGAGCGATCAAGCTGAAAACTAGAGCCTTGAGATCCTGAACAAGGTAGTAGAACACTCGCAGACCTTCTGGGTCAGCAGACTCTGTGACATCCACCAGGGATCCAATCTTGGCGGTCTACTGTGCTGTCAGTAGTGTTCCCTAATATGGTGCCTCAATGACCGACCTCGAACGCGATATGATCGTTACCAATCCGAATCTCCAATTCCTGGCGTCCGTCTTTGTTCTTCTGAGGCCATTTCGAATCATCTTCTCTACATTGGGTTAGCGATGTTCAGGCAAGGCCGCTGGATATTCGATTCGCCGTACTTGGTGATCTCGCTCGTCTTGATAATGCGCTTGATTTCGTCGACAACTACTGAGCTGACACACACTATGGCTTGTCAGAATCGCTGATTCCGCGGAGTTGGTGGCATTCCTCACTCTCTTTTCGGATCAAACTATCGTTTCGGTAGTTGGAGTTGTTGGCATATCGGGCTACCGCACTGCGACCATCGCCGACGACTCGGAAATCGAATTCTGAGCGCGCAACACGTTAGTATAACTTTAGAACAGTAAATAGACGCCGTGCGAATATTCTTACCCAGGAATTCGTGACCGAAACGACCCATATGGCCAGAGCTGTTTGAGGGAACGTCATTAGCATCGTTTCGCGACAATGAAGTGACGGGGAAGCTAGAAGAAGCCAGAAATAGACTTACTAATATCGCAAGTAGAATGGTTCACTCGAGGACGTCATTTTTGCTGCTGGGGAAAGGCGGCAAGACTGGCTGGTAGTATTACTCAAGTCAAGATTTATCAACTATCACACACTTGAGATCGCAAGGCTGAGAAAGAATCGCGGGACCTGACCTGGTGGTCGAGGATGGACAGGTGCACGGACCATATTCGGCGGGGCAGAACAGCTTTACGACAGCGACACCTCAGGTGTAAGAGTCGGTAGCCAACTAAGCGACGCGGCTTGGGAAGTACATCAGCTGTCAACCCAAAGCTCGACTACCTTATCCACGAGACAATGAAACTACACCAGATCTAGGAGCGGTCTTCCTAGATTTAATTGAGCCACAACTCATAGTTCAGAAGCATCTTATGGTTTCCTTTTTAAAAGTAACCCTCTCAATGCTCAGTCAAAGGATACAAAATCAACACTAAATGGGTAGCCTCGAAGTACCAACCTACCCCTTGTTAAATCACGTGATAGCGTCCCTCACATCAAGTCGCTTAGTGCCACCTGTTCGACATGGCTGGCTGGCAGGACAGATCTTCTTGAAGTTGATGCCGTCCAGAGCTGGTCCAAATTACCACAGGGGATTCTGGTAAAAGCTGTTAGCGATTGCACACCAGTTACGATTCAGCGAATGGCCAAGGCGGATTCTACTACTCATCCTGATAGTTAAAGCTCTACAGCAGCTCGAACCCCTGAGCTGAGCCTCCCCACCGCCGAAGACGATACCACCTTTACCTCTAATCCACCTCCAAACGTCCCCCTAAGAGCCACGTCCCATCTACAACAAACACTCCCACCAACTTTCTCGGCCAGCAACTGGCGACACTCTTCAAGATGTCTGGCTTTCTTGAGAATGCGTACAGTCTCGTTCACCAGGACAATGCGGCCGACGTCCCCACCGTTTCCGATCTGCGCATGCAGCTGGAGAAGGGTACCGACGAGACCAAGGTCGAGACTATGAAGCGCATCTTGACCATCATGCTCAATGGCGATCCTATGCCCAGCCTTCTAATGCACATCATACGTTTCGTCATGCCTTCAAAGTATAAGCCTCTCAAGAAGCTTCTTTACTTCTACTACGAAATCTGCCCCAAGCTTGACAGCAGCGGCAAGCTCAAGCAGGAGATGATTCTAGTCTGGTATGGCCACGCCCTTAGTACTGCTACTACTTATATACTATGATATTGGATCGATGCGATGGGCTTTTGCTGACAATGCTTCTGCAGTAACGGTATCCGAAACGACCTTCAACATCCCAACGAATACATTCGAGGAAACACCCTGCGCTTCCTTTGCAAGTTGAGGGAAGCTGAGCTTATTGAGCCTCTCCTCTCTTCAGCACGATCTTGTCTCGAACACCGACATGCCTACGTCCGAAAGAACGCCGTTTTTGCCATCGCCTCCATTTTCTTGCACTCGCCCTCCCTAATTCCAGATGCCTCCGAACTTATTTCGACTTTCCTCGAGGGAGAGAGTGACGGTGTTTGCCGAAGGAATGGGTTTGCCGCTCTCGTTAGCATTGATCACGATGCTGCCCTGGTTTACCTGAGTTCCGTTTTTGAAGGCATTCCCAATGCAGAGGAGCTTCTTCAGCTTGTCGAGCTCGAGTTTATTCGCAAGGATGCGGTTCAGAACTCCCAGAACAAGGTTTGTCTGATAGTTTCTTACGGGGGAGGCCGAATAGCCACTGACTGTTTTATAGGCACGATATCTGCGATTGATCTTCGACCTGCTAGAAGCTGGCGCTTCAACTGTCGTATACGAAGCTGCCTCGTCTCTTACCGCTTTAACCAACAACCCTGTTGCAGTCAAGGCTGCCGCCGCCAAATTCATTGAGCTGAGCATCAAGGAAGCCGATAACAATGTCAAGCTGATCGTTCTTGACCGAGTTGATCAATTGCGCAAGAAGAATGAGGGTGTCCTTGATGACCTTACCATGGAGATTCTCCGAGTTCTGTCCAGTACCGATATCGACGTCCGACGAAAGGCTCTTGGTCTTGCCCTTGAGATGGTATCCAGCAAGAATGTCGAAGAGGTTGTCCTCCTGCTCAAGAAGGAACTTTCCAAGACAGTCGACCAAGAATACGAGAAGAACACCGAGTACCGATCTCTCCTCATCCACTCTATTCACCAATGCGCTATCAAGTTTTCTGAGGTCGCAGCGAGCGTCGTGGAGCTCCTTATGGATTTTATTGCCGACTTCAACAACGCTTCCGCTGTCGATGTTATCAACTTTGTCAAGGAAGTTGTCGAAAAGTTCCCCAATCTGCGTACAACCATCATTGAGCGTCTTGTCTCCACCCTGGGTGAGGTCCGAGCTGGCAAGGTGTACCGTGGCATCATGTGGATCATTGGTGAGTACTCTCTTGAAGAGAAGGACATTCGAGAGGCTTGGAAGAGGATACGAGCTAGTCTTGGCGAGATGCCCATTCTCGCATCGGAGCAACGGCTATTGGATTCTCACGACACCGAGGAACAGACCGATGATCACATTAACGGAGCATCGAAGCCTGCCGCACCATCTGGATCGCGCAAGGTACTGGCTGATGGCACATATGCTACCGAGACTGCTCTTACCAGCCAGTCTTCAGCAGCTGCCAAGTTAGAGGCTGTCAAGACTGCTCAGAAGCCTCCTCTGCGCCAACTCATTCTCGACGGAGACTACTATCTGGCCACTGTTTTGTCATCCACTCTCGTCAAGCTTGTGATGCGACACCATGAGATTTCCTCGGACCAGGCTCGAACTAACGCCCTCCGGGCTGAGGCCATGCTGATTATGATTTCCATCATCCGAGTTGGACAATCTCAATTTGTCAAGGCTCCTATCGATGAGGACTCTGTTGACCGAATCATGTCATGTGTACGCTCATTGGCTGAGTTTGAGCAGAAGAAGGAGCTTGAGACCGTTTGGCTGGATGATACCCGCAAGGCCTTCCGAGCCATGGTCCAAGTGGAGGAGAAGAAGCGAGCCGCCAAGGAGGCATTCGAGAAGGCCAAGACTGCTGTGCAGGTTGACGATGTTGTCCAAATTCGACAACTAGCCAAGAAGAACACCACTGAAGGCCTCGATGAGATCGAGGTGGATCTGGAGAGGGCGACTGGTGGTGAGGGCACCGCTGAAGACCTGTCTTCTAAGCTTAGCCGTGTGGTTCAGTTGACCGGGTTCTCGGACCCCGTGTATGCTGAAGCATATGTCAAGGTTCACCAGTTCGATATTGTTCTCGATGTCCTTCTTGTCAACCAGACGACAGAGACACTTCAGAACCTCTCAGTCGAGTTCGCCACGCTTGGAGACCTCAAGGTTGTCGAGCGACCTACTACACAGAATCTGGGCCCACACGACTTCCACAACGTGCAATGCACAATCAAGGTCTCATCAACAGACACTGGTGTCATCTTTGGCAACGTTGTTTATGACGGTGCCCACTCTACTGATACCAATGTCGTTATTCTTAACGACCTACACGTCGATATCATGGACTACATCCAGCCCGCCACTTGCACAGAGACTCAATTCCGCACTATGTGGACTGAATTCGAGTGGGAGAACAAGGTCAACATTAACTCCAAGGCCAAGTCGCTACGTGACTTCCTCGACCAGCTCATGGCCTGCACAAATATGAACTGCCTAACACCAGAGGCCAGTCTCAAGGGTGACTGCCAATTCTTGAGTGCCAACCTTTACGCGAGGAGCGTGTTTGGTAAGTCGTTCTAGTCTACCATCTGCTAATTATCGGAGTGTGCTAACCATGAACTTAGGCGAGGATGCTCTCGCTAATCTGAGCATTGAGAAGGAGGGCGAGGATGGACCCATCACTGGTTTCGTCAGAATAAGAAGTCGATCACAAGGCTTGGCACTGAGCTTGGGCTCTTTGAAGGGACTTAACAAGATCGGGTCCACGGCCTAGGTCAGCTGATGAATGTACAAACGGCTGGATCTAGTTATATGAGAAGGGTTGTCTCAGCATTGCAAGATTCATGACGATGGTTGGAGCGGAGTCAGGGTCGGAGCATGTTAATGGGTGTTTTCCCACCAAAAGGCTGTGCGATGGGTCCCTGGTAGAGTTCATTGTAAGCAGGTTTAGGTAGACGTTGATTACAAAGGCACATGGTTTCATACAGGGTCACGGTCAGAGCCAGTAGCTATCACCAAGTGTGGTTGCATAGCTCGGCTTTCTCGTTCAGAACAGGGGAAAAGTGATATTAGCGAGGGCCTTGCCCAACTTTTGTTGGGTGCCCTGTCGGGTGCCTTGTTGGGCTTATATACATGTGTATAGTAAGAACAACGGCTGTTAATAGTATCCAAAATCAATCTCGACACAAGGGGATATGAGAGGAATATAAGTGACGGGGGGGGAATCATCGCTAGACCAGCAGCATCCGCCAACTCCAAAAGACACAGGACATGGTAAAGCAGGATAAACGATATAGGGTATTGTCCAAAAGTGGCCGGCCGTAGCGGATCAATAAAAGGCATACCTGCCATTGAAATAAGTTGACGATGAGGGTGAAGGGCTTCATGTCTAGCGTTGGGATGATAGCAGTAGGGCACAATCAAATATCAAAGACAAGGGCATTGACGACATGGCCAGTCTGCCAGTTTTGTGCCGTGAGAGACAGATTGTCCTTAAGAATCTTACCCATGTATGCTATCCTGATCTTCTTGGTCGACGCAAGCTGGGTGTCGTTAGCATTCCGTTTGCTCGCCGGAGAAGAGACAAGGTACTTACGCCAGCCTCGAGAGCAATCTTTTTGGCTGCACTACGAACAGTATCCGACTCATATATGGCGACGGTGATATCTTGACCGTTCTCACTGAGCCTGGCTCGTAGTTTGACTGTCTCTTGGGCATCGCCCACCTCTTTACCCTTTTCTTGTTTCTTGCCCTCCATCTCTTCATCGGTCAGTTCTTCATCTGCTGCTGTGTCGTCGCCAGCATTTGAGAGGTTGCTCTCTGCGCCGTCCTCTCGATCCTCCTGCATATTCAGCGGATCGCAAACAACCCATTCCGG